AACAGGGTTGGTGGTACCTCTGGACCGTGCGTGGTGTCTGAGGTATCAGGCTTCACACCTTTACCTCGCCTGACCTAAATTCTACCACTCTGCTATTTTTAGAAAAGACCTTGAAATACAGCAGCTTGTGTGCCAGCCAGGAGTCCTCAGCACATTTAACAAGGCTCAACACCCCTGCTAACCTTCTCCTTTGTCAGTGAACTCTGAGATTAATGCAGTGATTAGGTGGCTTGCTTAAATGAGGTATTGTTTCATCTCAGCAATAGGAAAACTACAGTGCATAAAACAAAGATTTTAAACCAATTAAGCAGCCTAAAAGCATATCTATTTCCCTTAGGGCTCAAGGCATCTTGAAAAGCTAGGAAAGTCCAAGTTTCGAATCCTCTCTCCCTCCACGCACCCCACAGCCAACAACTGTACTCAACCTCCTTTCTAACTATTCTGTCATCTTTAGCTCTTAATTCTGGTGGAGCAGCTGTGTAAATATAGCTGGAACTAAGAAACCATAATCTTCACAGCTCAGAGATTATCATCTTTTACCTTCCTGAGCTGTTTGCAAGCAGGTATTTAGTCTGGAAGCACTGTCTGGCCTCCCTGCCTACTTTTTCTCCTTATATTTTGCGTTTGCTTTTGAATAAAATCAGGAGGTGGATACTCGGTGACTGGGGCATTGGCCAGGCCCCGCGGCGAGCAGGCAGGCTGCCGGCAGCATCGCCCAGGTGCCTCAGACCACTCACGGCCAGCGCCAACAAACAAGGCAGCAACAGGGAGGATGCTCAAGTCCTTAATTTGCTGCTTGGGATTTTTGCTTCTTTACAGCTGGTTTAAGACGACTGACTAATACTTTAAAGCTATGCATCACCCCTTTATTTTGTTCTCAGGTAGGATGGCTGTGGGAGCCCACGTGACAACCCCAGGCATCACGCTGATGCGAAGTCAGGCTGCGTATTTCCTTACAGTTTAAAAACACATGCAAAAGTTTATCCATGCAGCTCTGTAGTCTTGTACTGCTCCTAAAAATAATCACAGCCTGCAGAGCAGCGTGAGAGGGGCAGGCCGTCACATACCTATGTCAGTCAGGATTAAAAAAAAAAAAAAAATTAAAAAAAGAATGCTTTCCTCATCCCCCAGACTAAACAAACAGGAGACACTGCTGCCCATTCACAGCTCCCTACATGTCCCTTCCAGCAGCATCAGGAGTTCTTTTGGCTCAGGGACACGAGGCTATCGGCCATCGGAGCGGGGCTGTAAGCTGTGACCCTCTCAAAAGATGAGTCACCCAACAGTAAAATGAAAACACTGAGCCAAAAAGCACTGATTCATGCCTAGATTTCTCTCTCAAAAGAAGGTAAAGGAAGATAGCATTACAAGTACACGTTTACTAGCGTTCATGCATTGCAATCCACACAGCTGAGTCAAGATTGCATGTCAGGGTCGGTGCCCTATATATAACGTATGCAGATTGCTTACATTTTCCACGCTCTGCCTTACCAAGTCCTTCTTTCTAGCATCAATGCAGTATCTAAATCCTGCTCCTGTGCCAAGAATGACACTCTCCTCTCAACAAAAACTTTCAGCCAGATGCTAATTAACACCCTGCTATTTGTAAACAAATGATGCAAGATGCAGATAAACACACACACACCCCACCCCGCCCCGAAGGTAGAGCTGCCTTCACACAGATCTGCTGGGGTCCAAAAGGGCTTGCCAGCCCCCACCCCCAGAGTGCTGTCATCTCCTCTTTGCTCTGTGACCACTACGACCCAGGTAATAAACCCGTGCGGGACCCAAGTGCTGTGTAAGGCAGTACAGAAGAACCTCTCTAGGTGAGGCTGGGAACCACGGACTGGTTGTGAGTACTGCTTTCCGCACAAAGGATCAATCATGTCTCAAGAAAACATGAAAATTTGAAGAGAGAAAGGTTTCACCTATCACCTGGCTGAAAACCAGTATTTGTTTTCAAATGTAAATGCATGTTCAGTGCAACACAACTGAAAAGTGATGTCAAGAACACAAGGGAGTCTCACCATCCTACAGTACTTTTTCTAGCTGAAACAGTCATAAGCTAATATGTAGGTACGCAGCTAGAAAACAGACCTGATCCTGAAAGCTGGTTAACTGTAAATGACTGCATGTACATAAACAGCTGAGGGAATGCCATACCAACTTTTGTAAGCTAAGACAACAGCGATAAGGTTACAAGACCTTGTGGCTTGTTTGTTTTTAACAGTGCTGCACCGATTTAAATGCAATCCCATGCCTCCTTAAAGTAGAAGCAGTTTAAGATATTTAACTTACCTAGTGCCTTGTAGAACAGCGTCATTTGTAGCCCATTTTAGCAAAAATTTTAAAAGTTAAGTTGTATAACTCCAGCATTGTAACAAAATTACACATGCTTATTCAGCTCCTCTGAAGATTTTCTTACACATACCAGTATTTAGGCAAGAACTGTCAATTCATCGTATGGAATAGAGTGATCCCAGGCTCACAGAACTACACCAGCAGAAACTCAATCGGCTAAGATACCAAATGCTCCACTGCAATCACCATTTTGTTCATATTGGAAGACTTTGTCACAGTAACACAAAACACAGTTTCGGAGGTACAGCTACATTTGTATATTTTACTCAGAACAGTTACTGTAATAGTCTGGCAAAATAGTTCTAGTGCAGGTAAAGGTACAGCTTGAACGTAAAACTCATCCACCACTCAGTGTTTTCTACTTCCAAGTCAGTGTTAAATATCACATAGTAACAAACATGACATTTCAGAAACACTACTCTCCACCTTCTCTCACTTCTTCCCCCAGAGTGCTAGAGTACAGATCAGTCTGGTCTTTGTATTTAAAATCATTCACTGAAGTTTTTATACACAGGAGAGGTTAGGGAGACTGTCACCAGATAAACACTTGCATGTTTAATGTGCAGAACAAAATACAGTTGACTTTTTCAAGCAGGATGCCTTTTCAACTATTCCCAACAGAAGCCTGACGAATACTCAAAATGAAGTGATTATTATTTGGTATTGTACAGTTTGCTTACTGGGTACAAAGAGCCAGGCTGTCACCTCATCTTCCTCAGCCTAGTAGTACTGTGCCCGTGATGGGAAGAAAAATGTTAGCCAGATTGTATCAATTACACCCCAAATTCACAGGGCGCAGCACCACTAATACAGCTTTTTCCCAAGACTGACTGTTAGCAACCTACATTTTGACGTGCCATCAGTGACATAAACAGAAATGAAAATACCAGAGTTTTAAAAGATAGGTTTGGATATTCTTGTTCAAACTTAGTAATTTTGATTTGCAGGCTTATGAGATTGGGTCCTGAAACTAATTAGAAACTTCCGTATCTCTTGCCACATTCTAATCACTGCCATAAAAGCTGAGGAGGAAATTCACCCAAGGCTTAGGTACACGTGAATCCTTCAGACAGCTTCAGATATACCAGCCTGAAGATACTAAATTAAGTACCGCCTGTGAATACATGTGATAAATGCCCTACATCACCTATTAAACATTACGCGTAACGCAAAATAGGTTCAGCTATGCAAGATTTTTCAAATTATGCAAGATCCATCACTTCAGAAAGGAGTCACTGCAGTTACTATTTCTTCTGTGAATATACAGACATGCCATTGATTGAAAGTTTTTAATGAGATACCAGCAATTTATAAGACCATGACATTTATGAGCCTCACCACATTTATAAGACTTTCGTTTTCAACAGAAATAGTTCTACTGTTATTAGAATCAATACGTGCACAGAGGTTGATGAGAACATACTGCTGCAGTACAAGAAGTCAGACACCTTCTCTCTGCAGGCTTGTTTTGAATTGTTTATTGAGGTTTAAGAAGTCATCCACATTTCTATAAATATAGACATTACTTGAGTAAGTGACTTACAATGTCACCAGTGCAGGTACATATATAACCAACATACAAAAGCTCCACTGGAAGCTACTTCAGTTTATTCAAAAAGGACCAAGATGTCATTAAAAAAAACAGCTGTCACTTTCGGTTACTGAAGACACTAAAGTGCATTTTGGGTTACCTCCTGGACGAACAGCTGCTGGTTAAAAAGTTTGATGTTTTTTTTCTTTAAACATATCTAAGTTACATTGACTGACATTCAGGTTTGTAGCTGTCATCCTCCTGATACATGGCAGCAGGTAAGAAAAATGTATTACTTTGCTGGTTGAGTAAAAGGAGGAAATAGATTTTGCGCTTTTTTTTTAATCCGGTATTTCCAACAGAAGTTTTAAGAGAATCTAACATTCTGATGAATTTTTACAGCACCACTAAAGTTAGTCTTAAAAATCCAGGCTCTGTTTAGCCCTTTTAATTGCTAGCCAAGTATCTAAAGAGTCGCTTGAAGCTCTGTACCAGTAAGAAAAAATACCCTCCCTTTTCCGTCAAGCACTATCCTGCCCAGCTAACACTGTTTGCACACTCTGTAAACAAGAACAGCTTAAAGCATAATTAAAGCAGAACACAGGCCCATCTTGAAAATCTTCTTCCCCCACTCCCCTCCCTCCCCCGCCCCCGGTAGTGTCAAATGTTTGAGTGTAAAAAGCATTATTACATTCCTAACCACAAAATACTTTAAGAGTCACGATAAAAAAAAAAGCATACGTTGAAAGTGACATAGCAATACCACTTTAATAAAATGGGGTATTATGGGGAGATACAAGATGTGCTCTGCTAATTTTAACTCCATCTTTACTTCATTATAATTTTGTTTTATTGCCAGAAAAGTCACCAGTCGAGCGAAGAATGCTCCACTGGTTAGAACCACAACAGCCAAAGTTGTTCTTTATAGCTCCTTTTACTGCAATTAATTTACTTTTAACTTGATAGTACGAGGACATAATGCTCATCATTCAGAAATAAATTACTAATTTTGAGTAACAGTTTAAACCTGATTACCATTGTGTGATGATGAATGGCTACTTCTAAAAAATAAAAACCTTACATACAAAAAACATGCTGTATGTTGGGAAACCACTTTTCCATGCTCCAGCGTGTTGTTTACATTTTTTACTTGTCAAAAAGTCTTTCTTTTGTCAGTTGAAGAATCCACAGCACTTAAATTTCAAGTATTTGAACTGAACATGATTCAATTTCAAAAAGTGCCAAATTAAAAAAAAACCCTACACATGTAGCCAAGCTTTCATATAAATCCCCAAACAAGATAAAAAACAGCCTCTCGAAATAATGGGTTACTAGCTTCACATGGTTTTAAAGCTGTATAATGTTCACCTAAACACTCCACTTACGAGCATTAGAAGTTTAAAAACACAGAACACCTTCAATGCAAATTGCTTGCAGAGGGCACCCTCAAACATATGAATACAACACTAAGCAGAAACCCCTCATTTTATTTGGCTATTTAGACATCCATGTCACATACACCCACCCATCCATTTGCTGATAGTATTACATCATCTGTTAGGGCTTCTGAAATAATGCAGAGCCATCAAACTCAGAAGAGACTAGTGTAAAAAAAAAAGTTCCATAACTGCACAGCCTTCCACACAGCAAGGTTGTGCAACTGATTGTTTAATGTAACTAAGCTTAACGGCATCCAAACAAGCAGGCCTGGGTTTGGAAGCTATCTTATGTCAAATTTTGACCATGTAACTACTCTAAAATAGAAAGGTCAAATTAGAACTCATCTCTTCTTTTTCTGCTGCCTCAACATTTTCCTTCGCTTAATTATCATATCATGTAGTTTCTCCAGTCCCTCTTTGAGTCCATCTCCAATGATTGCACAGGTGGGCTGCAAATGCCAGGGAGTCGAAGAACTCAGCTCGCTCATTGCTAACATTTTCTCAATTTCAGAAAGGGAGAGAGAGTTCCTCAAGTCCTGCTTGTTAGCAATGATAAGGACAGGCACTCCTTGATTTTCAGATATCCTAGTAATCTTATGAAGTTCTGTTTTGGCCTCCTCCATTCTCTCAACATCGACAGAGTCCACCACAAACACAATGCCATCGGTACACCTTGTGTACGACTTCCACAGCGGCCTCAGCTTCTCCTGGCCGCCTACATCCCAGAAGTGGAAAGTGACCGTTTTCGAGTTGCCCAGCGTCACTTTGATTTTCTCCGTATTAAATCCTTTAGTGGGGACAGTGTTGACAAACTCATTGAACTGCAGCCTGTAGAGCACAGTCGTCTTTCCTGCGGAGTCCAGTCCCAAGATGACAATGTGGAAACTCTGGAAAGAAGGCAGGCTGGAGAGGATGGGCGTCTGGTCCGAGAGTCCATTCCCCATTGCCAGAAGCGAAGGTGACAGCAGGCTGCCACGAGCAG